GGCTACTTATTCTTATGTGGATAGGCCAGGGTTTGAAACCTGTAAAGCTTATGTTTGCTTTTGAATTCTAATTGTGACTTCTTCTCTATTTTATTTTTATTTTTACTTTTTTATATTAATAGTGTGATGAGTAATTTATAATGTGTTTTCCATTCGAACTATTTTATCTAATTAATTATGTTTTATATTTTGTTTTAAATATTTTTTATTGTGATGTATTTTAAGTTTTCATCTTTAATTAACGCTATGTCTCTAAGTGTTTTATTTTTTTATGTTTCAAAATATCTCGTTAATAAAATTCTCACCCCTAGTGGAGAAGATTTCTGGGTCCGCCACTGGACGCACCTTCAGTTTCAACAATTACTCACATTAAGCACACAAACCACGTACTTTAAGCACAAAAATCACGCACCTTAAGTTTCAACAACTACTCACATTAAGCACACAAACCACGCACCTTAATCACAAAAACCACGCACTTTATAAGTTTCAACAACTACTCACATTAAGCACACAAACCACGCACCTTAAGCACAAAACTCACGCACCTTAAGCACACAAACCACGCACCTTAAGCACAAAAAACACTCACCTTAAATTGACCTAGATGCAAAAATTATCAAATTGTCACCGCATTTTTTTAAAAAATTTGTTAATCCTTGACGTTGATTTAAACAAGACCAATGTCTCAAATTTAACTACACAACCGCACAGGACACACCCAACCGAACTGAATTCTTATTTTTCAGCAATGTTGATCTAGATTGATCAAATCTATCCTCACTTTTTACCTGCAGAGAACCTATTCTTACCTACACCATCTCCTATATATTAAGTTTAAATGTAAACAAGTCACTAATCTTAGCTAGTTGAGATCATCAACTAGCAATATTGTGTTTTAGTACAAGCTATTAATATGAAGTGTTGGGATTCCCTGAATACAACATTTTCTTTTGGGATCATCTTTAGAATTCTTATATTATAAACAAGAATGAATATAAAAAGTAAAATCTGTTATCAAGTATAGACGCATAGTTATAAATATAAAATTAATTTAAAGAGTAAACCCAGAATTTGTCATTAGTAATTAATTGATAACGTAACTAAAACAACAATTTTAAAACAGTTAATAAGTAGACTGTTAATACAATTATAAAGTTAGAAGTTCAAACTTTATAAAAGACACAAGTGGTTAAATCAAATTTAGATTAGTCTCAAGGTGAGTATATAGATACCACCAAAAATAAATAAAAATAAAAAGAAACTTAACTAAAAACTGTAATTTATATATAAGGATAACAACTTTAAATTGAATTTTTTGTTAAGTGATCTAATATATCTTTTTGTTAAAGTGGGATGCGATATTTGAACATCAAAAATGAAGACGAATAAAGTATTGTAGTAGTAGTATTGCTTTTTGAAATTTGTACTTTGTTTGGTCTACATAGTGTCTATGTCTCGCAGACCCCAGACACAAATGAGCTGAGGGAAACAACTACGGTTTATTTCATTAATTAACTGCATAAATGGCACCCAACTTAACTACTACCCAACCCAAACATCTATAATTCATTTACATTGTCACATCGCTCAATTCAATTGGTTAACTAATCCAAAATAAATTTTAAAAATTTACTTTACTAGTACCGCTGACTATAAGATTCGAATCTTATATATATAGAGAGAGAGGATTCGAATCTTATACCTGTGGTATTAGTAAAGTAAACACTAGTGTACAAATATTTGGCAACTTATAAGGATAGAGTGGTAATGAACCTTCTAGTTTGAGGTTCAAATTTATAATTCATCTACTCTTGTGGTCAACTAATTTTCATTAGATGCTAATTACACTTTAATCTCTCAATTATTAATGGTTAGTCATTGTAAACCTTTTTTTTTTTTTACATTTTTTTTCACAAATGTCATCTTCTACTTAGATTGCTAAATTGGTCTATGTTGTCAATACTTGCTAATTGAGGGAAAATCCAATTTAGTCCATCAATTATTATAATTTTACCACTTCAACCTTCGACTTTCAAACTTGCTCAATTTTATTCCTAACTATGACTATGCATATTTTTTTTACTCAAAATAGTATTAAGAGAAAATTTCAATTTTGGTCCACTGACTATAGAAGGTGTGTTAATTGCAACACTTGACTTTCAAAAATGTTAATTTAGTACTTTGACTATGCAATTTCTATCAATTTTGGTCACGCCAGCCAAATTGACGGCCAAATCTCACCGGAAAAATTTAATAGATTAAATAATGAGGGTATTTTAGTCATTTTACTCACCCCTTTCTTCTCCGATGAGTTTCTCTCCATTTCCGACGACGAATAACCTTCATGAGCGGCAACCTCCTTCAACCGCTCCTATCCGACCAGCTCTAAGGAAGCCCCTTTCTGACTACCAAACAATCGAACCTAAAAAAAGAATTGACTTGAAGATTCAATAAACGTAAATCCAAAGCAAAGAAAATGAAACATTTTCTGGGAAGATCCGAAACGCACACCAAAACTGGTTCTGAACCTAACAGGTCCAGAGCTGAAATCAGCAGTTTAGTCAAGAATTGAAAGCCTTATGAGTAGATACAGAGGTGAGTTTATCCATTGGGATGTCATTAACGAACTGCTGCATTTCGATCTGTACGAGCAGAGGCTCGGACTCGACGCCACCTTAGAGTTCTTCAAGACAGCACACGAAGCAGTGAAGAGACACGACATTTTATATTTTTCCGGTGAAGTTCATCGGAGAAGAAGTCGCCGGAAATTTGTTGGAGCTACCGAAGAAGAAAGGGGTGGTGAGTAAAATGACTAAAATACCCTTATTATTTGACCTATTAAATTTTTCCGGTGGAATTTGGCCGGCGTGACCAAAATTGATAGAAATTGCATAGTCAAAGTACTAAATTAACATTTTTGAAAGTCGAGTGTTGCAATTAACACACCTTCTATAGTCAGTGGACCAAAATTGAAATTTTCTCTAGTATTAACTATGACCATTTTGATTAACAATTGCATAGTTGGGGATGAAATTGAACAAGTTTAGAAGTCGATAACCAACGAGTCCAAAGTGATGAAATTCTAATAGTCGATGGACTAAATTGGGTATTAACTCATTCTTGATATAAAGAAGTTATAACTAAAGAGATAAAAGGAGAGAAAAACTAGATGAAAGACGAGAAATTACTAAATTACTTTAAAATAGCCCTAATTGTATATGACAATTAGGTAGCTCGTGACACAATCGTTATGCTATGGACGCGTGTCCAGCATGTATTGTGGACACGGTAACGGAGTCGTTAGTGGCACCGTTATCTTTCACTTTTTTTTTTTAATAATTTTAGACCGCTTCGTTATAGGAGTATATGTTCATAATTTTATCACTATATGTTCATAATTGTAAGTTCATAATGTCATAGCTCTGTGTTCATAATTCCATAACTGTACATTCATACTTCAATAACTGTACATTCATAATTCCGTAACTGTACATTCATAATTCAATAACTATAAATTCATAATTTTCGAAGCTCTATGTTCACAATTTTATCACTATATGTTCATAATGTCAGAGCTCTCTGTTCATAATTCTATAACTGTACATTCATAATTCTATAACTGTAAATTCATAATTCTATAACTGTACATTCATAATTCACTAACTGTACATTCATAATTCCATAACTGTACATTCATAACTCCACAAACGACGTTAACGGCGAGACAAAATTAAATTATTTTTTTAACTGAAATGTCGCGTTTTCCTTAAAAATGACGTCGTTTTGGACTCGTGTCCACAATGCGCTCGTGACATTAAGAAAATGAAACTTGTAAAAATTAAAAACTTGTTCTAAATTCTAATTAATTAACGTTTACGAATTAAAAGAAAAAGTGAAATTTTGTCTAATTTTATTTAATAAATTTAAATTTTATTTAAAATAAAATTCATAATATTTTTTTTAAAAACAAATGATAGCCTATATGAAACACCTGTCAATTTTTTTTGTTTTTACTTAATTTCCTACCATCCGACAGGAAATGATATTTTTTTGTTGAGCACGTGACATGTCACGCATACGTAAACGTTTTTTTTTTTTTTTTTTTTTCGGGAAAATGGCACTTTTTACCCTTGAGTTATATACTTATAGCACTTTTCCCCCCTCAATTATTTAGGTAAGCACATTAGCCCCCTCAATTATTCTAAAAGTGATGATTTTTCCCCCCTGATATATTAAATTGACATTTATACCCTTAAAGTAAACATTTTATTTATTTTACTACTCCAACAAATTATTGCGTATACGTAGGGATGACCATGGTTCGGTTTGAATTGAACCGGATACTAAAGCAATCGAATTAATAGTTTACGGTTATAATTCAGATCTAGAACCCAATATTTAAATGTCAATTTATTAAAATTATGTATCAAAAAAATTGAATCTTGAACCGTGAACCGGCGGTTCCGGATCTGATTCGCGATTTTGAACCGTCTTTATTTTAAAATTTTATTTTTTATTTTAAAATAATCTAAATTCAACAATAAATGTATTTTATTTTTTTAGTTCGGAACATGAACCGTCCGTTCCGGTTCACGATTTTAATAAACTCTAAATATCGAATTTCGATTCTAAATTGTAATTGGAATATTTCGGTTTGGTTGCTATAGTGTTTGTTTAGTTTGAACCAAATTATGGTCATAATTTGTTGGAGAAAAAAAATAAATTAAATATTTAGTTTAAAGGTAAATATGTCCATTTAACATTTCAGGGGAAAAAACAGTCACTTCAATAATGTAGGGGGAAAAAATGCTATAGGTATATAACTCAGGGGAAAAAGTGCCATTTTCCCTTTTTTTTTTTTTGAGGAAACACTCATACGTAAACGTATTCAGTCCATTTCGCTCATTCACCTACTCTATAACTCCAAAGGTCACGTGTTTCGTGCACGTGCCACAATCAAACAGCAGCCTAACGACTGGTAAAATGAGTTAAGCACGAAACACAAAAACAACATGTCCGTCACCGTTAATTTAACGGACTTGCTTAATTACTATTTAGTATTTACTACTACATCGTACTTAACTCCTAATTAACAAACCTTAAACAAAACTGATTTATATTAAACATTCTCTAGAGTCTCTGGAATCTCAAAGGGCGACGAGAGGATCCGACCCGAATATGTCTTCGAAATCTTGGAAGTATTCGTCCGCCGGGCTGGTGGATGACCCGAGTCCGAAATCATGACTTGACCCGATGAACATCTCAGTGCAGCTTTCTCCGAAAATTTCGTCGGGGAAACCCGGTTCGTGGAATAAACCGGGTTCGTGGATCGGGTTCTCGAACCAGTGATCCGGAAACGGCGAGAAGCTTGAGAAATTTTCCGAGGGGATGACGACGTCGTTTGGGTGGGCGAATATAGACTCGGAATCTGCTTCGGAGTTGAAGAGGAAAACGGAGTTGGGAGAACGGCGGCTGGCGTGAGATTCCTCGCCGGAGTTGTAGCCGGAGAGGGACTCAGCCGGCTTCTCGACGGTTGCGGGAGGTACGGAGAAGTTGGTGAGCGCGTGAGGGCCACGCAACTGAAGGGCCGCGTTGTCGTAAACCATAGCGGCTTCTTCGGCAGTATCGTACGTGCCCAACCACAGCCGTACGCGTCTCAGTGGATCTCTTATCTCCGCCGCCCATTTGCCCCACGGCCGTTGCCTCACGCCGCGATACTTGCTCACATTATTAACCTTCTTCTTCTTCAACGGCGGCGCCGCCGCCTTCCGCCTCTTCAAAACGCCGTCGAATTTCCCCTTTCCATAGCTATCTCCTCCACACCGCTCAATCGTCACTTCATTCACGTACTTCTTCACTCTCCGCCGCCCACCGGAGGGCTCGGGCTCTCCTTCGTCGCCGGAGGAATCCGTAGCATCATCGTCAGTGACGGATATCCGTACAACTCGAGGCAAACCACCATTCACCTCCGACAACTTTCTCTTGCCGGAAAACCCACCAGCCGGAGCCGGAGCCGGCCCAAACATCCTGGTTTGCCGTCGGTGCTCGCTGTACTTGTACTTCACTGGACCAGAGAACATGCTTGGTGGTCTATATTCGACCTTTTTAGACCCGCATTGAAACACAAACTTTTATGAACAGCGAAAACGACCAGATAAGATTCCCAGAATGAATGAAGCAAAAACAAGCAAATCTTGGAAGAAAGAGCATCCAAAACGAGTATGAGAAGAAAACCCACCAGTAACAACTCAATTCAAGAAGATAACTAATGTAAGAACAGACAAAATCGAACGGAAAAAAATGGAGATTTTCAGGAAAGTTTGAGAGGAATCCAGAAAAGGAAAAGGAATCCGTGTTTGTGAACAAGTGGGTATGTGAGAGTATGACTTACACAGTAAAAGCAACGTGTAAAGAATTTGATTTCTTCTATAATAAGCTTTTTTTCTGGGCAAGGAGGCAGAGAAATTATGGAAGCTTTGTAGGAATGTAAGGTTCAGTTGCAATGGAGAATGGAGAATGGAGATGGAATCCTCTTTGAAATGCCGTTATATAGGATCCACTATTGGCGAAATAACTTAAACCACCTCAGATTTTTTTTTTTTTTTAAAGTAAAAATATTTGTTATTTTTATTATTAAATCAATTTGAACTAAGATGAATTATTTCCATATATTTGCCAATTAATGATTAATAACGAGCTTGGTTGGCATGAATGGCTGAGAGGCTGAACCTCTCTCGTATGTAATTACAGGGCTTTTGGTATAGAATTATAAAGTGTCACGTAATAACAATCAGGGGTAATTTGGTCATTTTCATGTTTGAAGAAAATGATTTGGAATTCAATAGCAGGGGCATTGGAGCTGTGATTTTCCGGTCAAGAAACAAAGTCTTGGACTCCTTCGGTCAAGAAGAAGGCTGAAGACCAGAAAAGACCAAAACACCCCTGCGAAATCGGAGTTCTCACCGGCTAGTTGATGGAAGATGGCCGGAAGGTGCAAATCAACTAAAAATAATTGATATCGGGGACTAAATCGATGAAAAAGCGATTGAGGGACTACATTGACAGTTCGCTAATAATTGAGAGACCAAATCGTTGATTAACCCATAATTATATATAAAATTAAACTATTATTTATAATAATAAAAAGAAAAATATATAATTTTTGGTTGCTGGTTTAGTTCCCATTGGAAATGAAGTTAGAATTATGATGAATTGTTATAATTATAAATCACTCTGATTTTTTATTAGTAGATATTTTCTCACGCAGTTTAACTGGCAACAGATGTTAATTACTTTTTCTTTTATTTCCTTTATTCATTTAAATCAAAGTATCATTATATTGAGCATTATAAGAACATCCAAGATGATAAATATTTGGTTGCGAAATCAATTTGTATCTATAAATGTGCAGATACTATACATTTTGCAGAAAAAAAAAAAAAAAAAAAAAAGTTAAAAGGATGCATTGCACGCACATGTTTGCAGCAGGGTGTAATAAAGTGTCAAACATGTATCTGTCACTTTATTTCATGTTATAATGTATAATATAAGTAATTGAAAAAATTTTACAATGTTGGTCGCGCCCGATACAATCATATATATTGATAATTAAAATATATTAACAATAGTAGGGTCGATTTTTATATTTTTGTAGCCCTGTTCTTGTAAATAAATGAGTATACTAGCAATACTGCAATAATAGTGTAACACGTACTTAGTACACATGATTATAATAAGAACAATATTAATACAATATAAAAAAAATAAAATAAAACAAATATAAGTTTTGTCAACATGAACGGATAGAGCATGATTTTAGTATAAAAAAAGTCACGAGTTTAACTCTTATCTACTATACACTTACTTAATTTGAGTTCGTCTATCACACAATGTTATATCACCTACTCGACATTTATCAGTATTAACCACTAGTCAAATCTAATCAATACTCTTACCCTCTTTATTCATGAAATTTTCAAATCAATCTAAAGATATGTTGCCCATAGTACTCCTTATACACACACTCCATAAGTTGTTTTAACTATAACAAACACCATGTTGTGTGCATTGGTGTAAGCTCGTCATATATGCGAACATATCATCAAACAAAAGCATCATTCGTTGCATGTAATTTTGTGTTAGTTTATACTCATATACTTAAAAAAAGTAAACTCTATTAATCGATCAGAAATATTATATTATTTTTTATACTTGTTTTTATTACAATATAATTAAAATACCAACTTTTCTTCTTCTTTTTTAAAGCATTTTTTTTTTTTAAAAAATCTATGTTATATGATTACATTTGAGATTTGACTATCACTAGTTCGAATCTACATATAAGATCATTTCAATATATGTTGTTTCATTAAGAGCATCTACAATGATAAAGAGATATTTCTCCTCAACTTGATACTTAACTATTTTTATAACATCATATCACTATTAAATATTTAGTGAATTTGTATGGTGTCGATAAGAAACGAGAGTATTCAAATTCCTCCGACTTGAATTAGCCTATTGGTTACATTTATTTTGGCTCTTTTAGGTAAAATAATTAGTCTATAGGTCAATTTTGGCTTATTTGACTACTATTAGCTGTTTGATTTGGTTAAAAAATTAATACAAGTGTTTAATTAATTAGTTTTTTGTAACTCTAAAATGCTAAAATCTAAAAAGCTGTTCAAAGCAACTTTTTCAATTAGCTTTTTGAGAAAAAAAATATACCAAACAGCTATCAGCTAACAACTAATTTACCAAACACATTTCTACCATCAACTAATCTTATCAACTAGTTATATCCTCTTATTAACCTAACCAACTAACAGCTAACAGTCCCTTCAAAAAAAAAAAAAAAAAAAAAAAAACAGCTAACGATCATTTATCAAACAGGGCCTTTGTTTTTAAGTGAGTTATCGAATCCCTTGCTAACCACTTGGCTTGATGGGGGTGGTTTCACTGCTAAGTACTATTATTTACATTATTAAATACAGTATGTACTAACCTGTCCACCCACATTAGTAGGATTCTCATTTCTCAACCAATTTTATGTATGCCCGTTATATTGTTCTTATCGAATTCAAGCTGTTTTTTACTGGATCGGACCAACTGTAAAATATTATAATACTCAGTAATCCAGAATATAGTTATACCGTCTATGTATATTGTTTTACGTTTATTATAAACACTAATTGAAACCTTTTACATTTTCTTTCAAGAAAAAACTTTTATTATAAGAAAAAAATTATAGTGGATTTATTATTAGTAAAAAAAAATATTTAGTTAAATATATACTTCTAAGTCTATATTATTGTGTGTTTACTTAAGATGGAATATTAACATATATATTTTGTAAGCTTTATCAAGTTTACATGTGAAGCCTTATAACATAGGTTACATAACACGCATGCGTATTGTTTTCTGCGAATGTTATTTAAGTTTTAAGAAGTTCACACGTAAATTGATCATCCAAATGTGTACAATATGAACAAAAAAGTGATAACTATATACTTTAAAGAGTAAAACTTTAATCATATATATTTTGATAAAAACTATAACCAACTTTTTTGGGATTAATTAGAATAATCAAAGAGTCAAAAATAAACAAATAAAGTTTTACGGGACTAGCTCAGTTGATTTAACTAATCATCATAAACTCTTGCTCTAGCAGCAGTGTGGTTCGAATCTCACTGGGAGTCTGGGGTCATTAAGAGATTTGTCAATATTCTACGTTGTAGATTTGTAGGGTGAACCAAGTTAAATTCTTTTTTTCCAACTTAAGTTTTTTTTTTTCTTTTCTTTTTTCCTTTTGTAAAAATAAAATTAATATATTAAAATATATAATTAAAAAGCTCTAACTAAGATATTTCAAATGACACTCATATTGATATTTTTATTTTAATATTTTAAATTAACATATGATAATATTAAGTCATAATGTTAAGTTAATTTCTAATATACTAAATCTTCATTTTCAAAAACTGTACGTTCATTTTTACAATTTTAATGCAACTACATTATAATGGTGGATCTCAAATAGATTTATTAATGAAACATTATATGTCCATTTTCATATATAATATTAATGGCTTATTTTTACAATACTGAATGTTCATCTTTACAATAATAATGCAACTACAATTTAATACATATGAACCTAAAATACATTCATTAAGAGAATACTATAGGTTCATTTTCATAATACAGAATGTTCATTTTATCAATATTGCAAGTCCATCAGTAAACATCTAAGATTCAACATATATTAATTTAAGTATCATTATTCAAAAGATATCAATATAATATTTTTAATAATATATTTTGTAATTAAATTGGTTTTATTTATTAAAAATATAACGAATAATATGTGTAAATGATAGTAGACAAATTGATGTCATTTTAATGAATGTACAGTATTATAATAATAAATCTTGATGCATGATACAAGATGGATCATGATTCTTGTAAAATCCTTAGAGCATCTACATCAGAGGAGAAATGGAGGAGAATTCACTATTTTTTTAGGCCAAAACGCCATGGTGGCAGAGAGAGAACCAAGAGAGAGAAGGGGTGGGGAGCATCTGCAAATGTTGAGATATTACTCTGTCCCAGAAAAAAGAATTAATGATGGAAGAGAGAGAACCAATAGAGAAAAGGAATTACTCTAACATGTTTTTTTTTTTTAAATATCAGTTTTGATTTTTTTTTTCCTTTCCTCCCACATTATTCTCTTTCCTACTCACTCTTATATTCTGATCTCCCCCTAATATTCCCAACTGATAAGGATGCTCTAACATTCAAGCTAATTATTTCTTAAGAGAGAGAAGTTCCTCATTCCCTCATCTGCATTATTTTGATTGCTTCCTTAATTCTTGTAATTAGAGTGTACCTAATTGGCATCAATACTTCAAGTCTAAGAGCTCAACAAATATTACTCATCGTATTAATTAGTAGTCATTCTTGTTTAATTCTCCTATCAACTTCAACGTCAAACCATTAAGAGGGAGGGAGGGAGAGGAAACAAAAATAAATTGTGTTAGTTTACTAGCAGTTATTACTTCTTCTTCGGTGAAATTATAGATTTAGTAGCTCAAAATTAATTAATTACTCACTCACCACTGTCATTCTTCATTTAAAATGCACCAATATTCTGCTGTTCTCAATCAATTTCACTTCAAACTTCTCCCATTGAATCCCCGACCCCCACATTCTGGTCCGACAAAGCATTTGAAAAGATAGAAATCACTGGTGACTCAATACGCACAATGGATCGATCTGCTCACTTTTGACCCTCACACTACCGCTGCCGAGGTTCGAACGTTAGTCTCTTCTTTCAAATACTGTCTACTGAACCAGTGAGTTAAGCCTATGCGGGCAATAATAGTTTTAAACTTCAAAGTTGGGATGTGCATTATTTTTTAAGGATAAAAAAGAACAAATTGCACTTTTGGTCCTGTGACTATTAGGGTACTGATAATTTGAGTACGTAACTTTCAAAA